ATCGTCTGCAGTGAATGGGTGCCGTCAGAATGAGAGTCCAAACAGATCACAACTCCAGCCCATCAATTAGCATTGTGAAGTGAAAAGCTGCATGTTTGCAATAAATCCAAAATCATTCCAAAATTGATAATAATGCTTCCTCCAGTGAAAGTGTCCATCCCCTTTGTCCGCTTAAATCAAAATCCACCGATATAGCTGTTTAGAACTGGTTTGGACTGTTTTCTCATCACATTTTGGATGGCTTGAGGGTGAGTAAAATTTTAGCAATTTTTATTTTTATTTTTGGGTGAACTATTCCTTATAGCGAATGAATGTGAACACAACAAACAAGGTAAAGACTGATTTTTCAGGGTTTCTTAGACAGTTAAACCTAGATGTAAATTTTAGACATTCATTTTTTAATTAATATTAAATAATTGAATTTAAAATGATTACAAGTATATCTGCATGATAAAATGATTTTAAAAACTTTAAATATAATAAAGCAGTGAATGTGGCAAGTTTAAGAGGAAGATGAGTCAGTAAACATTGTAAGAGAATTCCACGCTAGAGTGTGTTCATTTAATGGAACTCTGACCACCGTTAAATGGCGTTATTGGGGTGGGTCAGTGAGATAATGGAAGTAAGATGTGCAATGTTTCTGCACAGACAGGAAAAGATTGATTTGTGCATTGAATTTTCATTACTGCTTATGTCCGAATCATTTTATGATCAAGGTCAGGGAATATAATGAAATTCAGTTACCAAGGTTGAACATATGAGTAAAAATTTGTCAATTTTTCTGATAAGAAAAGGTATTCTGCAAATTAAAGAAATCAGCAAAAAATTTACAATTGTGGTCTGTCTAGTCAAAAAAAACATGTACAGTATCTACTGTTTAATCACATAACCTAATGCTAGCATACAGTAGCTTTCTTCGAAACAAAATATCTGATTGATTCGTGACATCTTCCTCTTAAATATTTTTTTAAACAAAACTTTTGTAAGATAGTGATACGCATGACACTAAAGCTGGTATAAGGAAAAACTCCATTAAGCAGCATTAAACAAACACAGCATTAAGCATATGTGTGTGTTTGTAAGTGGACCCAAGGCCATAGCGGTGGTAAGTAATGAAGTTTACTAAAGAGGATGTTAAACAAGGATTCTCGGAGGCTCTCACGTCTCTCGCTCACTCACGATCTGTCACTCTCTTCATCTTCTGCCACGATCCTACCTACATTCCTTCCTCTCCTCCCTCCATCTCAAAACAAGGCCATTGGAAAACACAGGAAATTGGCTTTCTGTCCAGCCCAGACTCAATTAATTAGGGATTCAGGTGATCTAATGATTTGCACCAAATCAAATCAGACAGAAACCATTATATAGTTAAAAAGAGGGGATTAGTAACAAGATTAGTCAAATGTGTAGGTATAGTTCACCCAAACATGAGATCACGGTATAAATCATCATCCACTTTTACTTTATGAAAC